TAACGACACCGCACGGCCAGCATTATCGTTAAGGTTAGGGTTAGAATTAGGAAATTAGATCACGTGTTGCGGTGTCGGTAGTAATTCCCCCTAAGAACTGTCCCGCCTTTTTTTATCACCCATATGAATTTCAGAATTTTAAACACGTGATTTGTGTTATAAAGAAAATTTTTCGATATTTTGAGAAACTTCCTTCACATCATAAAATAAGCCAAAATGTCCAAGAGAGGTAATTAATTTCTTAGAATATTACATCATATTTTCCCTAAATTAGGGCAAGACATTATAATGTGCTCTAGACACGTTTCGTTTGCCCATGTTTAGTGGCGTAAAAATATTTCTAGAGAAGTAATTTAACGATCTGGGATTTTTTTTTTCGTTGACTTTGAAGAACTATGTTTTACATTTAAATTTTGAAGACATTATATCATTTTATCTAACTTGATGGATCGCTAATTTCATTATATGATTTTATTATTATTATTATATATTTATATCTTCTATAGGACGCGGCGGTGGTAAATATAATTCATTTTCAATGGTTTATTATATATGCCAAACAATATTATTTTATATTAATAAAATGACAATTGGATTTTTACAGCTTCTGGTAACAAGTTTCGAATGACCTTGGGTCTTCCAGTTGGTGCTATCATGAATTGTGCTGATAATTCTGGAGCAAAAAATTTGTATATTATCTCCGTAAAGGGTATCCATGGTCGATTGAATCGATTACCGGCAGCTGGTGTTGGTGATATGGTTATGGCCACAGTTAAAAAAGGAAAACCAGATTTAAGAAAAAAAGGTAAAAATAGAGCAGCATAATTACATACACGTATTATATTTATTATTGCAGATATATATTCATCATATTTTATTTAATTATATAGTTATGCCTGCTGTTGTAATCCGACAACGAAAACCTTGGCGTAGGAGAGATGGCGTTTTTCTTTATTTTGAAGGTAATTATTTAGATCAATGATTTTGATCACTAGATACATTGCTAAGTCTTTGTCTTTTAGATAATGCCGGTGTTATCGTAAACCCTAAAGGAGAAATGAAAGGTTCCGCTATTACTGGCCCTGTAGGAAAGGAGTGTGCCGATCTTTGGCCACGTATTGCCTCTTCTTCTGGAACTGTGGTAAATTTTGATTCATTATTTGTCTATTCGTTTTTTATTAAAAATTTGCTTGACCTTCCTAATATTTATATTATTATTTCTCACATTTATTTCAAGGTATAAAATAGAGTTGCAATTTGTCACTCAAGTCACCTGTAATTTTGCATAATAAAATGTAGCTTATGTCACCTGCAAATATCATAATTATAATGTTTTATCTATCGCTTACATATTAACGAAAACGTTCGTTTATTTCACATAATGACCCCCATATCATGATGGCAATAACCGCGCCCAACATAGTGACCCCGGTTATTGCAACTCATGACTAGTTCAAATTTCAAATTTTCTATAATAGGGAAGTTAATCTTCTTTTGGGACCGAATACTAATCTTTCTTTTCAAGGATAGTCGGGACTCAGTATAACAAGTAGTATAACAAGTACTAGGGTTGGCGATAATAAATTAACCATTTAGAAAAGACTTAAATTTAATATCACTAGAGGAGGCCTCGTAATAAAAGAAATTTTCGTAATAAATGGAATTCCCCTTATCAGTTTGGTCGATTGCTAAGTTTAGAACCATGCGCGGTGAATAGGAAATACTTAGCGAAAATATGCATACAATACCCCTTATATTAATAATGACCATAAAACATTATTATGTTTTTGGATTTCTTTTATATTGGAATGAGAACTATTTTTTGTATCTATTAATCAGTATCGAATATCAAAATTAGTGATATCATCACATTTTCTTTAGATCACTTAAATAAAAGGTCTATATATACTGTATTTAAGAACGAGCTATTACCTTCGTGTTCACTAATTAATTAACGTTAATTTATCAAATTTTAAATACTAAATATTTATTCGGGATTATTGATGAATATTCGGATATTAAAAAGATTGAACGAATGAATATTCGAATACGGATCAGACCTTTAGTTGAAGCACTAAATACTGTATTATCGTTATATGTTGCGGGTTATGGATCTCTTTTTGAACATATTAATCTACCTATACTCTTTTCTTAATTAACAATTTAACAAAACCCAAAAAATTCAACATTTCTTATATTTCCGTACTTGCTGCATTTTTTACGATAAAAATGACAAGATCATTAATTCCGACCTGGATACTGTTCACCGTAGATAAGTATTTAAAATTTGTATGATAATATACAGGGTTGTTACCGTGGTAAGTTATCATGAATTTTGGTGCTAAGTTACCAAATGCTTGCTCCGCAATTATCGGAAGGTTTCGTATAAAATATAAGAATAAAGTAAGGTAGAAAAGGGTAATTTGACTAACAGAGGTAATTTGGCGAATTTGAGATATCTCGTTATCTAACGATCATATTTGGGTGATCTATACACCATTCGATTCGTCTCATCGAGACGAGTCGAATAGTATAAAGATCATTCAAATCTGATCGTTAGATCACGAGATATTGTCAATAATCTGTAGCTTTTACAAAAATTCTGAAATAGTACTAACGTATAGCCAAGAGAAGCGATATTTTTCCACTATGAAAATCGACCTTGGCGTTCTAAGTAAAGTTGTTCGCGCTATATATTTTAAAAATTTGACTTAGTGTTTGTACCCGATCAAAAAAATACTACCCGGGTTACCCGACGGGTGAACTCGCAAGTTACCCGGGTAATCGACGGATATACCCGGTATAAAAGTTTATATTATATCGATATTTTGATTTTTTTTATCTGTAC